CTCCGGGTCTGTCTTTGTAAAGCACCGATTTTCAGGTATCCTGTTTTGGCCATTCAAGTAACGGGTTATTCGAATAACCGGTTTTAGCAACTATTCGACTAACCGGTTTTATCTGAAATCGGTTTTTACGGAACCCGGTTAACCGGTTTCACTTTTTTCCGGTTTTTGCCAGCACTAGTCGTGAGGCCTAGTTACTCATGGACAATGTTATATGGTAGAACCAGAACCATAAGAGTAATGGATGAATAAAAGAACACGGCCAATCTTTGTGAATGACAGACGTAATGAATAAACTGTCAAATAAACTTTGTACAATAATTCGATTCAACAAAACTTCGCATTAGTGTCCTCTCTAAGATTTGTCTGAAAGATTTTTCTTAACGATTTATCTGACGATTATTTGGTACAATTTATCGCTCCAATAATAAGTCTGCGTGTGTATTCAGCTATTAGAACAAATTATTGATGGTGCATTACTAATGCATAGTTCAGTCGAAGCACATATAATTGTGAACAATTAAAATGGTTGCTAAAATGTCTAATGTCACGGACGTCCACAAAAAGAAAATAGAAGAGAGCTGATTGAGAGGTTAGGCATCCGTACCTATTCTTATTACGAATGTTAACAATAATTAAAATGAAATATAATTAAAATGAATAATTATTGTAATTCAGCTTTAGTTAACTAAAAATAAATTATTGGGACTTGCAAAATTATTTATAAGATTGAATTTTTAGGTTAATCATAAGTATTGAGAAAATAAATAATTTATTGCTTTGAAGCAAAACATGAGATTTTTTATTATATGTGTATATATTGATGTATTACTTATTGTTAATATGAAAAAAAATGTTTCATGCTTTAGATAATTAATTAAAAGCGAACACGTGTTTTCGTGTTTACAAAAAACTGTACGAAAAAGTTGGCAGATATTGACGCGGGGCATTAAAAAAATTTGATGAAAAGGCCTATTAGGCCTCTCTTGGCCGCTCTCTCGTTTATTATTATTACAGATTGACCCAACAAACCCTATATGTCTATGCTCGACAGGGAACGTTCTATCCAAATATGTAAAAATATACAGGGTATTCCATTTTAAATTAAAAAAGTTAACATCCGCCGTCATTTTGTTTGGACTTCATTTGTTTTTCTACAATCATTTTCGAAAAATTCATAAAAACTCGTGCAACTTTTGTCATTCAAATTTTTTAATAACAAAAAAGCTAAAGGGGGGTCAAAATGTAGTGAATTACCCTGTACCTTTTTTCCGTAAAATGTAAAATAAAAAAGTTTTTCCTCTTATTCACCCTAACCGTGGACATACTGTAGTTATTAATCTCATTTGCTACTTACCTACTTTTTATGGCTGATTAAAAAGCACTCCTTTAAACAAAAATATCCTAAACGTGTTACTGTGTACTCTGTCATAAACTGGTTTTTGCGATTATTTCGTTCACTTACAAGAAATTTTGTAATAAAAAAATCGTCATTTTCTGACGGATGTATGTACGGTAACTTTATTATCAATAATGTAAACTTTTATTGCCCATGTGCGGGCTTTATAGTCATCCTTATAATAGGTACCATCCCTATAACTTATACATATTTACAAAAATTTAAGTTTCAAATGCAAATCCTCTTCTCGTTTCACTTGAAGTTTGAAGTCCATTTTATTGTCTTTGCGATTGGGTGTCTTAAGTGGGGAAATTATTATTTTAAAACAGCTAGACTAAACATGTAATGTAACTTAACTGCACAACTGAGTTTTTCAATAACAAAATATCGTAGTGGCGGCCTAGAATATTTTTTGACAAAAATAATATGCTAATGTTACAAGTTGAGTATATACTTTAGATATACCTAATCAGTACAAGGAGTAGGCGCGACTCGATATTCACTATTGGAAATTCATGCTATTCTTTCTAGTATAGTATTAATTGGGACTTCACCGGACAATCATTTCTTTTATTAAGAACCTTTTCCCGTTTCGGCTTAGGGGCCCATAAAAATCAAAGCCCGGCACTGGATTTATTCCAAATAATAGCGGTGGCACCAATAAAATACGTTATTTTTATCTTGAACGTTGGAGATGCAAATATAAATACTGAAGTTACATCATTAAAAATATATATACTAATACATTACCGAAAAATACATGAAAAGCATAGTATATTTCTGTAAACTGTTGTTGTGTTTGTGTATTTAGAATCTAAAAATAATCACGAATTTGTCGTAGTTATTACGTTTGCAAGCACTAGGCAACAACTACACAAATTAGACAATTGTTACATATGTACTTCTGTAAGAATTATAACACACAGAGAGACGCTAACCAAGGTTATAAATAATAATACCAAGGTACTTCACACAAACTTAGTGACCTATCAACACAACAAATCAAGTGACCGAGGTTTTAATATATAAATATCAGCCGCAATGAGTAACCCTTTCAGTAAGTTCATACGGCAGTTCAATCGCACAGAGATGAATCTCAAATTCATCTGCTTGACCGGCGGGTTAACTATATTGCTCATAACAGCAGTAAAATGCTGGTACTCGTATAAGTGCAAGGAACTCAAATTTTGTGATAAACTTCGCAACAGGGCACCATCAAATTACACGCTGAAAGTTTCAAGCAAATTAAATTGTTCGTTAATTGGAAAATTGGTAAATAGAGACACCGACAAGCATTTTGATTTCTTCCTTACAGCATTAGCAGGAGGAAAGTTTAGCATTTACATAAACGATCCTATAAACTTGAGATATCAAGTCAATGACTCTTTACCTGAAATGCCTCTGGAAACCGATATGACAGTAAACGTTAATATGCTAGATGTCGGTGAATTGGTTATCATAGAGTTCGAAGATATCAAAATCTATCTTTCTACTGATCCTTTCAATTTAACGGTGTATCGTGAGGGCCAAGAAATCGTTAAAATAAATCCACGGCAATTGTTAACTTTCGAAGAAGATCCCGAAGCACCAGTAGCGCTCGACTTTAATTTTCCGCAAGCACTGCGGGCTTATGGATTACCGGAACATGCTGAAAGACTGGCATTAAGAACCACGACTAACGGATCTGAGCCCTATAGACTTTATAATATAGATCGCTATGGTTACGAAGTGAATTCCACACAAGCATTATACGGATCAGTTCCTGTGTTATTTGGTCTGGGAGTTAATATGACCGCAGGAGTTTTCTGGTTAAATTCAGCTCAAACGTTTGTTGATATCACGCATAAGAAGACCGGAATTGATTCTTACTTTATAAGCGAAACTGGAGCTTTGGAAGCATTTATTTTAACGGGGCCATCTTTGAGAGATTGCGTAAAACAGTATATTAATTTAACAGGTGAGTTTGAATTTTAATAATAAAAATATGCTATCATTTGAATGAGGCTCTATCTTACACTTTGTAAATATAATACGTGTTGTCCAAATGCAAAATTTGCATGAAACTAAGCGTTAAAAATCGCATTAAGGTACATTAAAGTTGGGGCCTAAAGTGTTGAAACGCGAAATAGTTTAAAATAACTACTAACGAAAATTCAAAGAAAAGTTATTCCTTATAATGATACATAAAATATCAGATAACTTTTTGATATTTAGTTTCCGGTTTAACGGAAATTGTTCATTTTCGAAATAAAAGCCTATATTATTTTGGCTCAAAATTACTTTTACAACATTTCTATGCTGTTAAAATTATTGCACCAAGGTCAACATGCTTTAATTTGTTATTTGTTTTATATCTGTCTAAGGTCTAAGGTGACTGCATGGAAAATATCCAAATCACTTTATTTCATACAAAAATTTATTAGAAAAATTTTAAGAATTTTAATGAAAATTTTATATTTTATGGTTACTTATCTAAGAGTTGCTAAAATGAATCGATTGATACACATTTAAACCAAATAAACCAAACCATTTTATTGAATAAATAATAAATTTTGGTTAATTAAAATACACCCACACACAGAAATTAATCTAATTAAGTATATTTTTTTGTAAATGAAATATTAGGAGTCGCTCCTCTACCACAAATGTTTGCTTTGGGCCACCATCAGAGCCGTTACAGTTACATGAGCCAAAAAGAAGTTTTGGAAGTCTGCAATAAATTCGATGAGAACAAATTTCCACTTGATGTAATTTGGATGGATATTGACTATACAGATAAAAATAAATATTTCACTTGGGATCCCAAAACTTTCCCAAATCCTAGTTCTATGTTGAATGCTTTAAACAAGCAGGGTAGAAAAGCAGTAGTTATAATTGACCCACACATTAAAAGGGAAAAGGGATATTCTGTTTTTGACGAATGTGAATCTAAAGGTAAGCTATAATAAAAAAAGTTATACATTTCACTGATTACAAACATTTCACACACATTACTTGATTTTTGAAATATCTCACTTTTGCCAATTACCTACTTTTCAAGATTTCGAAAAACGTCAAAGATCAAAAAGTTTATCAGTCCATCTATATACAGGGTCTCCCAAAAGTGACGCCCGTCCTTTTGGGATTTGATTAAGGAGACAAAAACGATTTGAAAATCTAAAGTGGAAAATTTTCCGATTGTTTTTCTGTCAAAAAAAATATTTAAAAAACTAAAAAAGTGAAAATCCAATTTTTTTGTCTCAAAACTGAGGTCTGCTTATATCAAGACAAATAATTTATAACCAATAGTAGGTAAGTATAGTTCCCGATTGCCGGTTGTATCTGGGTGTAAGTAACCTGAAAAGGATAGAGAAAAACACTTTGATAATAAAACAATTTTAATCTGGAGAGGAAAAAACAATAATGTGCTTAAATAATAGAAATTGTTTTTACAAAAGTTGTTCAAATAAGTTGCCTTCTACTTCAAGAATGGCGATTTCCATTGACACACTGCGTGCGCACCGAGTAGGTATATTTCAATCTTTTATTATCACTGTAGATAATACAGGATGGAAATACACTGAATGCGCACTCAGTGCATCAATGGAAATCGCTAAAATATTGGGACGATTCAACATCGAAGCATGAACCCTTTGTAGCATCTCTTGGTCTATAAACGCGACAGCAGCGTGTATACGAGCTTCTACATAAATCTTTTCTTTTAAATAACCCCAAAAGAAAAATATATGGGATTCAGATCTGGTAATCTATGAGGCCAGGCTATGGGCACCCCTTCCAATACAGCTGTCTAGGAAATTTTTATTCAAATAATTTCATACTCGTAAACCATAATGTGATGGAGCTCCATCATGCTGAAACCAATAATTTAGTCTAACTGCTAACGGAACGTCATCTAGCAATGGTAATGGAAAGTTTTCATTTAAAAACATACAGCAGCAGATACAGCTCTGAACTACATAATTATTTAATAACCCAGCTCAAATGTTTATTTTTAGTTTTTTGAATAACTCAACAAAGAAAAACAATAGGAAAATTTTTCAATCTTGATTTTCGATTTGTTTTTATCCCCTTAATCAATACCCAGAAGGCCGGGCGTCACTTTTGGGACACCCTGTATATTACATATATTTTCAGTATTCTAGAAATATTTTTTTTACATTTTTTTAAAATGATATATATTTTTAACTTTAACAGAATGCAGATGTCGATTGCATTTTTAAATTTTTACTGTTGTCATATCCTAAACGAGTTTCTGTAGTGATTCAGATATGTTTTTAGGAATTTCTAAAATGAGTAAAACTTTAGGCACTGGAAAAGTTTATCTATTTTCAACAACTTAGTTGTTCCAAAAACCAGTTGCATATATGAAAAAGAATTAAACAAGTACCTACAAAACATCCATTTCATATTTATGGTACAAGGGGAGAACCAATTTCTATCTTTTTGAGGAGTTTCTCGTATTCTCCAGAGACAAAAAAAAGGTAGTTAAGGTCATGGTTATAACGAACTTCAAAAGACCTGAGAAATATGTTCCTTACAGCCGAAGTTTAAAGAGCATATTTTAGTTTTTAAAAGTAAATTTAATCAAAGCAAAACTTTTTTGAAATTGGAATTTAAAATTTGCCCTATTAACTAATAAATGACATAAAATATAATACAGCTTCAGTTGGAAATTTAGTAAATATACTTATAAAATAATCAGTATGGTCAGAATAATTTTTTAATTCAACTTGTTTAAATAGCTATTACTATACGTTCAATATATTTCATTTAATCTTTAAAACTAAATTAACACATAATCCATGATTTTATTCTAACATATGATGTTTTATATGGTAATAAAGTTCAATATAGCAACATTTTTTATCAAATTTGATCAGTAATTGGTTCACTATATGTGATGGATCATAATTTACAAATTCACTATATTCCACATGGTATTTTCCACATGGACTTTAAGACAGGATTCTCAAATTTATTCATTATATAGGGTGTCCCGTGACTCGATGGCCATAGCTTAAGGTTGTATTTCTTGGACAATTTTAAGTCAAAAGTGCCTTATACGCTTTGTCCAATAGTTAAGGAGTTACGAGCAATATTAAATTTAACAGTAAATAAATCTGGGAGGCCATGTAATTGTTTTGTCATATTGTTATGGCGACATTGTTTATTCTTTGACGTAATTTTAAGATTAATTTGACATGGCTACGTTTTCAAATCAAGAATATGCCAATATTCACTTTACTTATGGATACTGTGACGGAAATGGGAATATCATTAGAGGTTTCCTGACCGAAGAATATGTAATAAGCAAGTGTTCATAAATATGCATCGTCAGTTGACAAAAACAGGCATGTTTCCTAAAGCTACTGCAGAACGTCCCGTGCGGCAAGAACTTGCTGAAGGAGAAGCTATTCTTAACATGAACGAAAATAGTCCCTCTACTAATATACGAATAATATCTAATCGTGTTCATGTTAGTCGAATGAAAGTGTGGAAAACATTACACAACTTTGGTTTCTACCCATATCACATACAATCTGTTCAACATTTACAATCAGCAGACTATGCAGCGTGTGTCGACTTTTGTCATTGGTTGATTGCACATCCACAGCTTTGTGGACAAATTATGTTTATGGATGAAGCCACGTTTAATAGAGATGAAATTACAAATATCAGAAATTCACATTCATGGACCCCTTACCCTTTAGAAATCGGGGAAATGCATTTTCAACATTGCTTTTCGGTGAATATTTGGTGTGGTGTTCTTAATAACCTTCTTATTGGGTCATTCGTATTTCAAAAACGTTTAACATCCGAGCATTATCAAATTTTTTTACAAAATGTGTTGCCAGGATTAAAGGAGAATGTTCCACTTCAGAATATAGTTAACATGTGGGTTCAGTGCTATGGCACACCACCGCATTTTGGTGTAAATGTGAGAGAATATTTAAGTAACAACTTTGCTAACCGGTGGATTCGAAGAGGAGGTCCAGTTCTCCGGCCTTCGAGGTCACCAGACCTAACGCCCCTTGATTATTATCTTTGGGGACACATAAAAAGTCTAGTGTATTCAAATAAACTACAAACCAAAGATGAGCTAATTCAAAATATTATGGCTGCAGCTGCATTCATACGAGATGATCCAGATACTCTTCAGAGAGCTTCGCCTTCAATTATTAAAATTTCTGTTAACAATAAAAAAATTCGTAATTAATAAAACATTACATTACTTTATTCCACATGCTCTTTACTTTACCAGATTTATTTATTGTTAAATTTAATATTGTCCATAACTCGTTAACTACTGAGTTTTGGACAAAGTGCACTTTTGACTTAAAATTGTCCAAGGATTATGACCATAAACCATCGAGTCACGGGACACCCTGTATAAACCGAAGATAAGCTGTACCTGAGAGTTACATATAATCGAAGTAGAATATGAATACTATATGAATACTTATAATAATAACAAATTTTCTTCATGACAGTTTGAAAATAACTCCATTATCTCAAAAAAATACAAAAGAACCCCGCCCAAAATCAATGGAAAATGGGTCCCAGTTGATTTTGCTGTAATTGCAGTATGTTATAGTTTTTGATTTTCTGATCAAAAGTTGTCATGGGCCCAAAGTGATCCTATGAATAGTTTCAGAGATAATGAGGGGGAGAAGCATGTGATTTTGGCTGTAGGACTGAGTAAGCTTCACGAAGTTTCAAGTTGATGGGTTCAAAAACTGGGGCACCTGGAAATCAAGTCAAGGTCATTTCATTTGACTTAATCTCAATTCAAGCCCTGCATGTGACCTTATAGAGCTAAGCTATCTCCAAATTCAGGTTCATCGGCTAGCTCAAAAGCATATATACTTACAGGTTAACATTCGTGAAAGGCCTTTTCTTTATTTTGACCTTGAAATGATCTTGACTTGACCGAAATGTGACCTTGTAGGGCTAAGCTATCCCCGAATACAGTTCCCCCCCTAAAAAAAAACTTATATATGCACTGGTTGAAATTCAATACAAGCCTTTTCTTTAGTATGATCTTGAAATGACCTTGAATTGACTTGACGGTGACCTTTAGGGTTACACTATCTCCAGAGTCAAATTCTGTGAGCCCAATAATCTATACACTCACTGATCAAAATTCATTACAAGTCTTCTTCAGTTTGACCTTGAAGCGACCTATCCAGGTGACCTTAGATAGCTAAGCTATCCCCAAATTCAGGTTCAGCGATCCCAAAAGCATTGTACCTACTGGTCAAAATTCATTACATGCCTCAATTTTTGGATTCATCAACTTGAAACTTCGTGAAGGCCTACAGCCAAAATCACATACTTCCTCCCTCTTTATCTCTGAAACTATTCATAGGATCACTTTGAGCCCATGACAACTTTTGATCAGAAACTCAAAAACTATAACATACTGCGATTTCAGCAAAATCGACCGGGACCCATTTTCCATTGATTTGGCAAATAAAGGAAATGACGTGGTGGTTGTAATCTATCGATTTAAAGATTCTTGGTTGGTGACATTATATAATTTATTTTAGAATATTTTGTGAAAAATCCCAGTGGTACAAGTTTTAAAGCCTCATGTTGGCCAGGACTATCCAGCTGGATCGATTTCTTCAATCCTGAAGCATTAAATTATTATTCTGCTTTAATTGCTGATTTTGCTAAGAGCAATAATCTCCACATTTGGAATGATATGAATGAACCTTCCGTTTTTGAGGTTCAAGAGCAAGCTATGGATGGAAATTGCATACATTATGAAGGTTGGAAGCACAGGGATGTGCATAACCAGTATGGATTTTATCAAACTGTTGGTACATACCAAGGACTGATCGACAGAAGCAATGACGAAATAAGACCTTTTATTTTAACAAGGTCCTTCTTTGCTGGATCTCAGAGATATGCTGCTCATTGGACGGGGGATAATGTGGCTTCGTGGGAACATCTGAAATATTCTATTCCTATGATGTTAACTGAAGCTCTTTGCGGTATGTTTTTTAATAAATGATATACATTGATTTATAAAATGGCGGTATCGATAGGTAATTATTTATTGGAATATAAAATGGGAAATGGGGGTATTTTAAATGGGTGTTATTAAATTTCAGATAAGAAGTTGCTAACATCAATTCATAATAGACAATTTTGCAATAGTTTCCAAATATGCCCATTCTTGAATAAATGAAACATTTGTTTTTTTATTTACTAATTAATCCTATTTTTTTTTATTACTTTGGCCTCAGCTTTGTAGGAGCCGACGTTGGAGGTTTTAGTTGTAACCCAACTGAAGAACTTCTACAGAGGTGGTACCAAGCTGGAGCATGGTATCCATTTTTTAGAGCACATTCAGCTGTCAGTACAAAACGAAGAGAACCGTATTTGTTCAACGATAAAATCCAGCAAAGAATAAGAAAATCATTGCAACAGCGTTACAAACATCTGACTTACTGGTACACCATGTTTTGGGAACATTATTTAATCGGAGAACCTGTTATTAGACCACTGAGTTACGAATACTCTGACGATATAAATACATACGATATTGACAATGAGTTTCTTGTTGGTTCAGATATTCTAGTTCACCCGGTCACTGAGAAAATGGCGAAAAATGTCACAGTGTACTTACCAGGAGGAGAAAATGAATTGTGGTATGAAATCGACAATTTTAATGAAACTTACACTGGACTTGGGATAAAAAATCTTCCCGTTACTTTGGACACTGTACCAGTATTTTACAGAGGAGGAAGTATTATACCTGTTAAACAAACAGTTAGAAATACTTCGGTTTATATGAAAGACGATCCCATAACTCTTTTAGTTTTTCTTGATAAATATAATTATGCTAAAGGTACTGTTTATGATGATGACCAAGTGTCGTTTGATTATCTTTCAAATAAATATACATACGTCAGATTTACTTTTTATAATAATTCTTTGAGAAACGAAATTATTGACGATGAAGCTAGTTATGATCAAGCAACTATTTTAAACTCTGTTATTTTTTATGGACTAAAGACCACTGTTTCTCAAGTTTCTGTTGCAACAAAAAAATCAGTTCCTGAAGAAGATCTTGTTAAAAATATGTACACCAGAAATGTAACAGTAAATAAAAATAGAGCAACTATCGATAATTTAAATTTAGACATTCGACATCAGTTTGTTATTAGATTTGACGAAAATATAACTTTCCTTGAATAGTATATATTTCCTTACAAAAAAATTATGTAACTTCTCTCATATGTATCTGTATTTACATCATTGTGTACAGGGTGATGGATATGTCTTGGCAAATATTTTTTTAGTTGAAAACTCCAGAAGATAATTCATTTATGAAAACAGTTATATTTTTAATGGCTGTCACTTAAATGTAGGATAAAAAAGTTCAACTTTTATATTTACATCATGTGACATTCTAACGATTTTAAATTTTTACAGAAGTAAACTCCTTTTCATTCTGGTGGAAAGAACTTTTACTTTTTTTATTTAGTGTTCAACTTTTTTCGTGGTATTGACATCGAAAATTACTCTCTTGAAATTATCGGCCTTAATATACGAAGTACAGATGGAGACAGAGAAACATTTCTTTAAAACTTTTCTCTTCAAATCGAATGTAGATAGCTATTTTGCAAAATTTATGTGATAATACAGATACAGATACTGTTGGACGTTATGCAAATTTTGAGCCATACTGTAAAAATGTTTGTACACAACTGCCTCCAATCTTCGTTTATCAAGGCCAAAATTTCACGAAAGTAATTTTCAGCTATATTAATATTGTAAAAACAAATTGAATGTATAAAAAAACGTTTGATAGAAAAAAATCCTACAGCTAAAAGAACCTCGCACAAAATCAATGGAAAATGGGTTCCAGTCGATATTGTACAACACTTTTGAGATCGCTGAACCTGAATTCGGGGATAGCGCAACTATCTAAGGTCATCTGGAGGTCAGGTAAAGGTCGTTTCAAGGTCAAACTGAAGAAAAGACGTATTGAATTTTGACCAGTGAGTGAATAGGTTTTTGGGCTCGCAGAATCTGAATCTGGAGATAGCTTAACCCTAAAGGTCACCTTCAAGTCAATTCAAGGTCATTTCAAGATTCAACTACAGAAAAGGCTTGTATTGAATTTCAACCAGTGCATATGTCAGTTTTTTTTGAGGGGGGGTAACTAAATTCGGGGATCGCTTAGCCCTACAAGGTCACATTTAGGTGAAGTCAAGATCATTTCAAGCCTTTCAGGAATGTTAACCTGTAAGTATGTATGCTTTTGAGGTCGCTGAGCCTAAATTCGAGGATAGCTTAGCCCTATAAGGTCACCTGCGGGGCTTGAATTGAGATCAAGTCAAATGACTTGACTTGATTTCCAGGTGACCTTATAGGACTAAGCTATCCTCAAATTCAGGTTTAGCGACCTTAAAAGCATACATACTTACAGGTTAACATTCGTGAAAGGCCTTTTCTTTACTTTGACCTTGACTTGACCTAAATGTGACCTTCTAGGGCTAAGCTATCCCCGAATACAGATCCCCCCCCAAAAAAAAACTTATATGCGCACTGGTTGAAATTCAATACAAGCCTTTTCTTTAGTTTGATTTTGAAATGACCTTGAATTGACTTGAAGGTGACCTTTATGGTTACGCTATCTCTAGAATCAGATTCTGCGAGCCCATAAATGGTCAAAATTCAGTACAAGTCTTCTTCAGTTTGACCTTTAAACAACCTTTACCTGACCTCCAGGTGACCTTAGATAGCTAACCTATCTCCAAATTCAGGTCAGCGATCCCAGAAGCATTGTACCTACTGGCTAAAATTTATTACATACCTGTTTTTGAAATCCATAACTTGAAACTTCGTGAAGCTTACTCAGGCCTACAGCCAAAATCACATACTTCCCACCCCTCTTTATCTCTGAAACTATTCATGGGATCACTTTGGGCCCATGACAATTTTTGATCAGAAAGTAAAAAACTATAACATACTGCAATTTTAGCAAAATCAAATAAACACATATTTCCAAAGATAGGTCGATGATCCTATACCTAATAAAACTCAGCATATTTTAGCAGAACTAATAGATTTGTTTATATTACATATATTTTGTAATAATTTATATACACACATTTTAAAATAAATTACAGAATTAAAATAGTTTTATTGTTCCCAACTCCTATTATTACAAAATTTATTATATTAGCATTAGCGCAGATTTATTTTCTGCAAACAAATTAAAAATTATACAGCATGTTCGTAAAGAAATGCATACAGTATTTTTTTTAGGAAAACACATTTTTTATTAAATACGATATGGATCACCCTGTAAATATAAATTTATAACGAGCGTTCAAATAAAAACGTGGTCGAAGTTGGCTCTGACACATTGGACGTAGGGAGTAGCTTATAGCGACCAACTTAACCTCATTTCTCAACGAGCTGTATAGCAGCTGTCAGTTTCAATAACGTTAATGACTATATAACTTTATTTTAAAGAATAATCGTGATAACAATAACAAACAATTAAAGGAGCTGCGGAAAGTGTCCCCCTCCTTGTTATAACAATAAATTAAAGCAGCTGCTGAAAGTGTCCCCCTCCTTGTTCCAAGCACTTTTCACACCTGTTCCTCAAAGAATTAAAGACATTTTCTAAGATGCTCGGGGTATTGTTAATTTCACGAATCTTGTCTATAAGTCGAGCCTGCAGATGGTTTAAATCAGGAATAGGCAGTTCAAAAATAGTGTTTTTAAGGTAAGGCCACAAAAAGAAATCACACGGCGTAATATCACATGACCTCGGTGGAAATTCATGTTCAGCATTGAGACTTATTAGTCGATTTTGGAAAACTTCCCTCAACATATTCATCGTCTCGCCTGCCGTATGTGCCCTTGCGCCATCTTGTTGAAAGTAAAAGTTTGTAATTTCGTTTTCTTCCAGCTGGTTAACAAAAGGAGCGATAATTTCTTCTCTATACCTTTGCGCAGTAAGAGTACCATTAAAAAAAATAGGTCCATAAATCCTCCTTCGATTGAGAGCACACCAAACTCCAATTTTTTGAGCGTGTAGAGGGCCCTCGACAAAAAAGTTATCTGGTTTTTCAGAAGACCACATTCTCATATTCTGTGAGTTTACGTAACCACTTAAATGAAACCAGGCTTCATCAGAAAAAAAGGTGATATTATGAAGTTCACCGTAGTTGTTTAAAAACCATTCACAAAATACAGCCCGTCGCGGAAAATCAACTTCATGAAGTTCTTGCTGACAAGTTAAACGATAGGAGAACAAACGCAAATCTTTTTTTAACACTGTGTGGCAGGTACCGACTGATACTCCCACCATTTGTGATAAAACACGTACAGAAGTTCTTGGCGCATTTTCCATTATTTGTTGGACATTTTCTTTTAATTCTTCAGTCCGCTTTTTAGGTCGGCCGCTTCCTTCTTTTCTTGTTACACTGCCCGTTTCACGAAAAACATTAACACAACGCTGAACTGCACTTTGAAAAATTTTGTACTCAACAACGCCGGGAAATTGATTTTGAAATTCTATGAAACATTCCTCAATAGAATACTTCCATATTCCATCAATCTTGCGTCCATTTCTAAAGTAGGACTCTATGATAAACACTTTTTGTTCTTGAGAAAACACCATTTTAAACGCTTTTTAAAACGAAAATATTCAAATTGATAGCGGCGATATAGCGCTTTGACAGATGACGTTTAAGTTCATTTGCTATACGCTACGCCCAAATTTTCAGAACCAACTTGACCACGTTCTTATTTGAACGCTCGTTACAAAAATGGGTATATAAAAATAAAAATCGGTCTCCGAGTGATTCCCCTTCCAAAAAAATACATAAATAACCATATGTATTATCGAATATATGCGTTACCCTACAATGAAAAAATGTCAGGGACATTACTGAAACTATATCATTCTTTCAAATATTTTTGTATGCCTTTGCTATAATAAATAAACTGATTTAAATCAACTTTTGTATGGTACTGTCACATGAGCAACTGCACAATAATTTAAGGTTTATCTGATTTGGAATTGATGAACAAATATTCATAAAAAAATTAATATAAGAAAATCCTCAAAAAAAATTATGACTAGTTTGGATACCTAAGAGACAAGATATTAATAAAATAATTTTCCACGATTTAGTATGAAGTCCTATGAGAATGCAGATTTTTTTGGTCTTTCCACTTAGAATGCGCAACAATTGAGTTTCCACAGCAACTTGTATAAATAAGGAAACTGATATCTAAGGAACTGTATGACAGTTCGTAGAAATCAATTAGGTACTTGTAAGATACATAATTTATAATAATTCTCCTTCAAACTGCTGTCGTTGACTAACTTAACCTCCGCCAGGGAGGCGTACTGTCTCCCTTGTTATGGGGATTAGTGGTGGACAGTGCACTCGAGGGCCTTAATCGAAAGGGACTTTATACACAAGGCTATGCAGACAACTTAGTCGTTCTCATAGTCAGGAAACATAATATTATCGTTTCAGAACTCATGAAAGAGGCTTTGAAATGGATAGATAACTGGTGTAAGGGGCAGGCACTGTTAGTAAACCCTGACAAAACGGTCATAGTAGCTTTCACCAGGAGAAGGAATTTGATTGGACTCTCTGAATCTATAATAGGGGAGAGGTGCATTAGGCTTTCCAGGGAAGTGATCGTCTAGGAGTGATACTAGATAATAATTCACCTGGAATGCGCATTTGGAAAAAGTGGTGCGTATACTGGTTGTATACATTGATAGTAAGACCTAGGATTCTCTACGGCGCTGTGGTATGGTGGCAAAAAACACAACAGACCACAGCAAGGGAAAAACTGAATAGAAATCAGAGATTGGCCTATTAAGGTATATGGGGGCGATGCCATCGACCCCGACACCTGCACTAGAAGTCATCTAGCACCACTGCATATAGTGGTGGAAAGACCAGCGTGGCTAGCAGCGTATCAACTCAGGAATAACAACGACTGGAGGGGTATTTCCTAGTCCAGGATAATGGACACATCTATGTCGGAAGCAACTTTTGGTTATGGGATGATATCTGACAAGATGGTTCTAAGTTTCACTTCCATAAGACATTTGCAACTTGAATAGAAGATCAAAGCAAATGGGAGGAAAGGTTTAATACCCAGGAAAGGTGGAGTCTAGTATGGTTTACAGATGGCTCTAAAATGACTAGAGGGATGGGTGCAGGAATATATGGACTCAGACCCAGATGGAGTGCAAGTACAGTCTGGGGGAGTTCCCTACTGTATTCCAGAAGTTTTCGCGACAATGGCGTGTTTGGCAGAGAATGTACGTAGAGGTTATAAACGTAAACTGATATATACAGGGTATAGCAAAAGTACCGGAACGACATAATAACTCGGCGGGAGAGTATTTTAGAGAAAAATGTTAAATATAAAAGTTTCAGGATTTCTCCCTGGCTATCCGATGGTGACCTTGACATTGAAGATCATTTCAAGGTCAAATGTGATTTTCAAATGGAACCCTATACTTTTGACCCCAGAAATGAAGAGCAGACAATTTTACATTCAAATATGACCTTGAGTGACCCCTCCTTTTTGACCTGTATATTCTCTGATAGTCAAGCTGCAATTAAAGCTTTTGGCGCACACAAGATAAGTTCAAAACTGGTGTGGGACTGTAGGAAGGGATCCGAGGCAGAGTTCACGGAGTATTCTTCGATGGAAAGAGCAAACGATTTACTGAACTTGAACAAAATCTGGCTCAGGAGAGTGACAGGACTCATAACAGGACACTGTCACTTTAGGAAACATCTACATAAGCTAAAGCTTGTAGACAGTCCGGTCTGCCGAGTATGTAAATCGGCGGATGAAACTTCTTTGCACATCCTGGGCGAGTGCCCGGGATTTGCACGTAGCAGAATGGCGCTCCTGGGGAGACCATATTTGGAACCCAAGGAACTGAGAGAAGTGTCAGCAAGGAAGCTTTTGGACTTTGTCAAAAGGACAAAACTACTTGCTAATAGGACTAGTAGTGGGACGTACAATAGGCCTAATTAGGCCGCAGTGCTATGGGACTTATTAGGACCAACTACTAGGAAGAAGAAGAATTTAACCTCCATATGTGTGATAGCAGCGATACGATGTAGCGTATTATTTGAAATTCGCAGGTGTGACATTATGATGTATATTTCAAGCTTAGGCATCCAAACAGAATGATCGCGCACGAGCGAGCGAACGCCGAGCCGAGCGCGACCAGCCAAGTGGAATGTTGCCAAATCAAAGGCTTATTACTTTAGTCACTAGCGAATCTACAGAAATTCTCATTTGACTTTAGACGTACCCGACAAACCTTCTTAATGAATAAATAGACACTTTTATTCAAATAAAAAGTTAATTGCCATGCATTAAACATAAAAATATATGCGATCCTATTATATGTGTTGTATAAATTTCATTTGCATGTATTATATTTAGTTCGCTCAAATTAGTTTATGTAAGGTTGGTACTATAATGAAACTCCCGTGTATAAGCAATAGGCTTCCCTCTCGCAAGAGATCTATCAAACATCCTTAAACTATATTGTTGGATTTAAAGAAATATTTAAGAGATTTATTTATGGCGACACAGTCAAACAGTGCGTTATGTCGTCACCCTTGACCGCAACTGTGTGAGCGTCTCCTTGCTACCTAAAACCTTCGTTTCGACTCAAGCCACGCAAGACCATACTTACGTCAAAGACTGGTAAATTTAAATCTTCAATCCGGATCTAACAATATGCTTGCAGTTCTGATGATAATCCCATCTGTTGAACAACAGCGAGAACTTATTCAATGTCCCTATAATATTTTTGTACAATACTTACCTACATTTGTATTATTAAGAGACCCTTATCTCGAACGTTTTGACTTTTTACTGATTTCTCAGGAAGTTTTCAGCATTCCAAAGCATACACGAGCTTACGCGAGTACTATTAAAATTTCGTCCCAATTGTTTAGATTTTATTCAAAAACCATTTATAATATTATAAATAATATTTTCAGAATCTAACTGTTCAGATCAAGTTTAGACATTTCACAAGACTACACAAACATTCATTCCACATTGTTTCTTACTTCCTAACTTTTTTTTTTTTAAGCACAACACATACAAGAACTACATTCTATGAAACATAAATGAAATTCGCATGTGCTTCTGTGTCTTAATGAAATATATTTATATATCTTGGTCATTATATACTCTTTTGTGTCGCCTAAGTATCATTGAAACAATTTCTTTATAGATTAAATCTATATTATACGCTCACGTGACTTTACATCATCTACTTATAGAACTTTTAAATGTACATATAAAAATGAGTACTCAGTAGAAAACAGAAAATAATAATAATACTAGTGCAAACAAATTTATACTTCATATGCCAATTTTGAGAGCACAAAATGTAATTGCATATAAATTATGGACCTACCACACAGACCGACCTTATTTTTAATATAAAATTTGTTGTCGTATAACAAACAATACGGTTAAGTTAGAATATCTCGGTCAGCGTGGGAGATTTCCTTAAATAAGATTTAACACAATTAAAATAAATTAATTGTTTCCATTATAAAAATGGCCATTATATAATTATTTATAGCTATAAACATTGCAACATGTCGATAAAGAACCATTTCAATGCATATTCCATTTATACAGTAATTTTTATTGTAAGGCCTAGTTTGGTTTCTAAATATATAGTACATATTTTCATTTACGCAGTTTCTTTTTTTTTCAACAAAAATCAAAACATGAATTGAAAACGTTCTTTACGTTTTAAGTTATTTCAAAGTTACATATCACAAAATTTTTACAAAACGTTATGATATGCATATTGAAGTTATTTTATTTTATAAATTGAAAACACTAAAATATGTAAGGAAAATATAAAAATATACACAACTAAATTTGACAGTAAAATTATCGATCATTCATACTCAGTTATTTCCTCGTCGACCTTTTGGTCTTTCTTGTGGCTGTTACTTTAGGAGCTGTTGTCGAGGAAGATTTTGTTGTTTTCGAGGACGATGGGGTTGGTCTGGACCCTTTTGTATCTGAAAACAAACATTTTTTGAATATGATGAGTGTTAATTCGATTAAAAAATTCTTCAGCAGTAGTTAACTAGAATCATTTGAGGATCGGGTGCTTCATCGGGGGGTAAACCGGGACGGGAGAGGCCTATGCTTATCGTATTATAACATCACTATTCTCAATGCAAAGAAAAATATTCTTTATGACTAGAAAGTATATTGAGATACTTGCTTGTAGAAATTCAATAAAATCGAGTTTAAAATACTTAAAATTATAATTTTTCTCATTTATTATTTTTTACGCAATATGCATAAATAAATACCAAAAGTTGCAACAGAAACTTGGCAACAGCGCACGAGTATGCCGAGTTTATTATTTGTAAGTTGGCAGTCCTTGTCATGTACAGGGTGTCCCAAAATTAATGCAACAAAATTTGGTCATAGATTCTTGAGACAAATTTAGGGGACCCGTATTATTGTTTTTGCCAAGTGGCCCCTTCTTTCGGAGTTACAGCCCCCTGAAATGTGCCCCTAAGAATAGTATTTTTTATATCAGATAATAAAAATGTCATAATTTATCAAAATGCATCAGATTGTTATATGCACCGTGATGCAAAGTATAAACATTTCATTGTTTGTATTACTGTATTTTTTACTTTTTTTACTTGTATTGAAAGTTTATCGTACGTTATAAATTAAAAAATAGATTTCAAACATACTTCATTTGAAAATTTCCCATTTTATTTTATTATTCCAAACTGAATTACACAAATAAACACAATTGAATGTAATCCATTCCTAACGACTAATTTGTGTATCGAAATGTTTCATACTCTATTGTGCCATTGCCGTTCCGTTACTCCTTCACATTTGTTACTTGCGAACAATAAGTCTGATCTTTTTATGTTTGCTAATTTATTTCTCTGTGAAATGTGTGGTAACCTAATTTTTTATTTCTCTCATCTATTAACTAATAATTCAGGAAATTCTGTTAAATATTTAAATTTTTTGTATTAATTAGAAACAAAAATAAATCGATAAATAATTTGAGAATAATTCACAGAATTTTATTTTGCATTTGAAAAATCTCAATAGTACGAAATTCGTTGCATTTTTTTGTAGCACCTTATCCTCCATAGGTACAAAACGGACTAAACAATGTTCACACATCGAATATCTTTTATTTCAAGAAATATGAAAAAACTAATCAATTTAGAAGGGAATTAATCTTTTTTATGTTTTATTATTAGCTCATGTATTCATGTAGCCCGTGTAGCCGTAGTATGCAGGGCGATGATCTTCAAAATTTGCCCATGTTTTGAATATAGGCCAATTATTATAGATTTTTTTAGGAAAAAAATACTATTAGAAGTTTTTTTGCTGAATATTGTTCGGAAACGTGTTATAAACAAAATATCAAAAAATCAACTCGAGACTAGTTGGGAAACTTTGTTAAAACAATGGTCAAAGTTATGGAAAAGTGGTTTTTTGACTCGCGTAAAATAACTGTTATTCATAGAGAAAAAAGGTTTATACAAAAAAGGTAGGTATTAAATAAGCCTATAAAATGAGACAAGTCTGATTAAATTCCGATAATTTGTTTATGCGCAAGAACTCAAAAATGGTCAAAAATGGCCGTTTTTTTTCAATTGCTAATAATTAATGCAATTTTCATCGCAGACACTTGTAATTCAGGATTTTTTAAGGTCTTTGCATCCCTAGTAAGTGGTAAAAATATCAGCCCGAAAGCTTTATTAGTTTGGCGTTGGCGGAATTTGCTATCAAAGATGCTATTTTCAATTGATTTTTCCCAAGCTAAAAGGCGTTGTAGAGTTTCGATCATTAGTTGTTTTTGTACCTAAATAGTTGTATTGACATATGCATTTACTGAGAATTTAATTTTTCTAATTTAATTTGTTTAAAAATGACTGAAAAAATGTTAATATTTATTAAATTATTAAGATAGGTAAATATTATGAAATGAAATAGTAACGTCTATAATTTAGTTAGTACTATTTTTCATTGAAATTAAAAAAAAATTGTAAGTTGATTAGAAGCTGAGACAATTTTTTTTTTATTTAATCGCAGTGTCCTTAATTATTAAGAGCCGAAATTTGGAGAGAGTATAAGAGCTATATTTTCATGACCTACATTAACATTAAGGTGAATTCAACTATTTAATTGCAAAAAAGAAGATAGCGGCGATGCGTTCTATTACTCAGTCTAGCGAACGAGTGGGAAGAGCGAGGCTAAATAAAAAATTAATTCTCGGGTTGAAATAACGTTAATACAATATCTTCAATGCTCATGAATTTTCGCGCTGCCACAAATTAAAAAAGAATCATCTCGATAGGTTCATTATTAACCGAGATATGGCTAATTTTTCCAGCCNCGAGTGGGAAGAGCGAGGCTAAATAAAAAATTAATTCTCGGGTTGAAATAACGTTAATACAATATCTTCAATGCTCATGAATTTTCGCGCTGCCACAAATTAAAAAAGAATCATCTCGATAGGTTCATTATTAACCGAGATATGGCTAATTTTTCCAGCCCCATCAATTTGAAGCCGCTCGATTATTTTCCTGAGCGCAATCAGGCGAGAGTAATAGAATGCATCGCCGCCATCTTCATTTTTGCAATTAAATAGTTTAATTCACCTTAATGTTAATGTAGGACATGAAAATATAGCTCTTAATGTATACTCTCGACAAATTTCGGCTCTTAATATTAATAATTATGGTCACTGCGATTAAATAATAAAAACAAATTATCTCAGCTTCTAATCTAATCAACTTAAAACGATTTTTTTTTTAAATTCGAAGTAAAATAGTACTAACTAAACTATAGAGGTTACTATTTTATTTCATAATAATTATCTATCTTAACAATTCAATAAATATTAACATTTTTTCAGTAATTTTTAAACAAATTAAATTTGAAAAATTAAATTATTAGTAAATGCATATGTCAGTACAACTATTTAGGTACAAAAACAACTAATGATCGAAACTCTACAACGCCTTTGAGCTTGGGAAAAATGAATTGAAAATAGCATCTTCTTAGATAANCAGGCTGCTCAAACCGTATATATTCGCAACCGTGCGCATAGTGACTCGGTTATTGCAATTGGTAAGGCGAATTTTTGCGGGCGAGCTTATACCGATTGTGACAAATATTTTTATGGAAAGAGGTACTGGTAATAGTACCAAGATTGTTCATGTTTCTTTCAGTTTCTATTTAGTACATATACTGTATTTTATTCAAAATAAAATCGTAAAATTTATCGTATATCGTAATTTAACACAACATAATGTAAAACTATAAGTGGTCTAACTGCTCCAGACGTATATATTCGCACGCGATAAACAATTGCGCACGGCGCGGTAGCTACGTTCAGACGTATTGCGCAGCGAAAGGGTTAAACAAAGTTTCCCAACTAGCCCCGAGTTGATTTTTTGATATTTTGTATATAACACGTTTCCGAACAATATTTCGCAGAGAAACTTCTAATAGTATTTTTTTCCCAAAACAGGTTGTTTCATGTCTATAATGATTGGACTAATAGCAACAACAATTCTACAAAAGAACCCATATAGCGCAGTTATCGCAATAAAATAGGAATATAAAACACATACAGCTGTTCCGTTAATACAAACTCAACTTTTCACCGATTTTTCCAAGAATTCTTGCGAAGTTCTGCTGACATCGCAAATGCCCCCACTAAATTACTATTTGTAAAATGATTTTGTTAAGTTGGAGTTTCCATTAGTATAAAAGACACTGAAAGTCAAATTTTTCGGAAATCTACTGTTATAGCTGCAAGTCTGGGTGTTTCATTATATAACCCAATTTTTATGATTATGAATTTATGCTGTGTGTGTAATGTTCGGATGTGTTACTCACAATAAACAATTTCCATTATTTTGATAGAAATTGTACCATCATGTTCATAATGTAAAAGAAGAAACTGAGACTATGTATATGGGCGGACTTAAATAATAAAAAATTGTGGACAATTAATTGTAGACAAAATTAAAACTAAGAAAAATGAAAGAATGTTTTACTGATAATTGCAATTTTTTTCTGATAAATGAACATGCAGAAATCATTTTAGGAATAATATCATTATTATATAATAATTGTTTTTGTTAAATATAATTTAAATCTAAAATTAGTTATTTGGTTTTTTAATGTAATGGATATGGGTTTGTATGAACAAAAAAACTTACTTTTGACAGTATTTTGTAACCGACTAGTGCTGGCTGGAACGGCAGTTTTCCTTCCAATCTTAGCTAGCACCTTTGCCTTTTTTTGATCCACAACCGGACTGGTTTTCACGTCACTCTTCTTTTTGCCTCGAGCTGACCTAGTTGTACTTGTAGCTTTCTTTGTTTCTACAGGTATTGTTTTCTTTGCAACAACAGCAGGTTTCTTTACCACTTTTTTTACAGGTTTTGTCTCAACTTTCCGTACTTTCGGATTTTCCGGAGACTTCTTAGTTGGTGTTTCCTTTATTTCCTTTTCCTTTTTCGGTGATTTTGATGAGGGTCTGCCTTTGCGTTTTGTACTTTTTCTTTTTTTGAGCTGCTCTTCGTCCTTGTACAAAGACAAATCCACTGAAAAATGATAAAATAAGTACTGTGTAAAAAGTGTTTGTATATGCTATTCTTACATCCATCAGGATGTTCCTCTGATACTGAAGGAGTCGAGATTTCTCCTTTTTCTACTGCTAAGCATCTCTTTAAAATACTGTCCGTTCTTTCCTTTTCTGCAGGAGTTAACTTGTATTTTCCTTTATCTACTCGAGTTAGATCAATACTTGTTAGAATACAGTCAAAATCTGAAATAAAAACAATTTATATGAATTTTCTTGGTGGTATCAGTGGTTGGAAAAGGGTTTTTATACTTTTTATTGTATCATTGTATGTGGTAAATCAATAGTTAAATACACTACTTAAATTCTTTAATTTCTTTTTCTTTTTGGTAATTTTCATACTCTCCACTTTCTTGATGTGTATAATTTTTTTTAATTTCACACGGGGGTCATAAAATTGTTTGCCATATTACAAATACTTTCTCGAAAACCGATAGACTGAAAATTAAAATAAATAGTATAAAATGAAGAGGTGACAGGTCAATATTGATGTGATTGAATGAGAGTCAGAAACCAAATGCAGTGCTTAAAAAAATAGCATTAAAAACTTTTTAGTTAAAACTAGTAATAATTTTAATAAATATTTATATAATAAATATCAGTAAAAGTAATTATTTTAAAACATAAATTAGATAAACTTATAATTAATGCAGTATGCCTGCCCACATACCAATATTAATTTTTTAATCACACACATTTGATTTTCTTTAATATTGAGCACTTTCCATATTAAAAAAAAATTAAATAACATGTCACAGTTCAAACAAAAATAATCTGTTTTTACAAAATTATTTTCCATTGCAGTTTCACTCTCTGTCACTACGTGAGTGTCACACAGTTGGTTTAAAAATGTAACAAAAGGCGACACTGACAGGCGCACATATTATACAGCAGAGTAAGTGCAGAAAAAAAAAATTATAACACCCATTCCTTCGATTAAAAAAATATATTTCAGATTAGTATTCTGAGGAACATGTACCATAAATCTCAAAAAACGAACCCCCGCTTAAAATTATACTCTGTACAGGGTGTAACTTTGAGTGGGGGTCATATTTATAGAGAGGTTTCCTTTGACCTTTAGGAGCACGCATTAATTGAATAGTGTATTTTTTTAAATGTTTTTTTTTTAAAGCCTTTTTTAGTAATTTTCGTACCCCGCCACTGGAGAAGCTAGTGTAACCTCAACCTCGCTTTAGTCGCAGCGCATGCACAATTCTACACCATTCGCCACGAGTTACTTTTGTTGCATAGGTGTTCGCCACACAAATAGTACTTAACAAGTAACCTAGCAAAAAACTCAAGCAGTACTCAATAATGATAAATGAAATACACAAAAATAAATAGTCTGTTGATGGCTTCCAGCGATGAAAAACATCAAATTCACAATTAGATGTACTGTCTCAAAATGCGGAACAACCGACGTCATTCGCTTCGCCACCGTTGACCTGCACTATCTCCCTTCACGTGCACTGTAGATTGCCTACAATCCGTGTATTTGTAATACATGAATATTACTGTGGTGGCGTATGCAAGTATTAAAGTACATTTAAAAAAAACTAATTATATCTCGGTTATTTAATTGATTAAAAGAAAAGAAAACACATACTATTATCACTAAAAAATTGACCCCCCACTTAAAGTTACACCATGTATATACGGTTTTTTGATATTGACTAAATATAAATTATAAATCATAAAAAAAACTAATACTTTTTCTAAAAAATTGCAAAAGTAAACGGTTATAAATTTAATGGTAATAAATCTAAAAGATAATTTTTATTGGTACTTGATTTATAGTGTTTCTGAACTGGACAAGTAAGTTTTAGTTGCTTATTTAATATTACTGGAAAAACTAAGCAGTTTTTTTTTCTTGAATCCTTAAGCTTGCCGAGAATATTTAAAAAATATTCAGTTTAAAAATTCAAGACATATGGTGTCAGTCGCCACGATTGCAACAAATAAAATAGAAGGAAATAGATGAAGATATGATGGCACATAATGGTACATACCTGTCAAATCATAAAAATCAGGAGTGTATATCTCTCCCGATTTGTCATTTTTATCCTGAGATAACCAACGGATTTTGATTTTTGAGGACGATTTATAAATATTTTGTACAGCTTGACAGAGATAAAATCCACCTTCAGCATTTCTTACCGCTAAGAATTCATTTCTGAAACACAATGCATGAAAAATAATATATAACTTACTGAAAACAACTTACTTATAGAAATATATTAATTTGTCATCATTATTTCTACTTCTTCTAGGTGTGGACGAACTAATTTTAGTAATAATTTCAATTTCTGGTAAGGGAATTTGATATGGTTGAGTTTTTATACGTTGCCGTTTTGCTTTTCCGGTACTCGGAGATTTCTGTAATGGTGTTTTTACTTCTGGTTTGACAGTTTTCGGCGATTCTTCGGGTTTGGGTGTTTTTGATTTTCTTGTGGGTGTTCTGGGTGTGGTGGCTAATTTTAAAGGCGACAGGTCTCTTTTCGGCGAAGACTGAAAGAAAAGTATACATTTTTCAACATACCTACTATTTGTGTGCAATGCAGATAGTTTTTGCAGGTACCGATTGAAGTTATCTACTCATATCACTGACATTTTTTATTGTTTTTACGTTTTTTAAATTTTTACAATTATTTGATGTACTTTAACTTGTTATCTTATTTGATAAGAAATATAATTATAATTATGTAAATCAAAACAATTTTGTTCAGAAACTATGACTAAGTTTGATAAAATTAGACATTTGTTATTGTTTCTAGCCGTTTCGAATAATGGGAGACAATTTTTTTTTCTTCACCTTGGTATTCTGAAAATTGAAATTAAGTATATGAAAAATATCTGTACTTATTAAAAAAAAGAGCAACAGTCAATCAAACTAGCCGTAAGTGAGAAATTCAACATTAAAATTGAGACCCATTTTAGGTTTGTTAATTTGATGCAGTGATATTTCTTTTTCATAATTAGAAAATGTTGCAAGAAAAAGAAAACAATATTTTATCAAGGAACAATGATAGAGTATACATACAAATGTTTAGTGAAAATTATTATTTTTTAAATGTGATATACGGTGTGTTTCAAATTAAGTTGGCACTATTGTTAACTTTATTGTTATTCGAGATATAAAGTCGATTTAAATATAAAATTATTGCAATTTTTCTGTCGATTAAAATACATAAATGAAAAAACAACTGAAAATTACATATACGCAATAGATGTCATGTTAAATTTGTTTGAAACAACTAAACTCAAACAGGATACATTATATTTTCTTTGCTCATCCCCGTTCAGAATTACATATTACAATTGATTGATTTGGCATATCCTTCGATATTTGGAAAATTCACTTTAGTTTTTTGTGTTTGGAAATTCGATCCCAGGGCTATAATGTTAGAAAGTCTACAGCATTCAAATTTGTTATATTAGCTCCATATCAGATCTGCAATCTTGAATTTTGAAAGTTTGGACATTTGGATTCAACAACCTCAGAATTATTCATAGCAGAAATGATTAACTGAAGATTAACTGTTAGTAATCGTAATTTGAAAACTTAATTTTTTTATCAAAAATATTGCATTAAATGATGACATCCATATTTTCTTCCAGAGTTTGTAAGTATTCGATAAAATTTTTTTCATTTAGAAATTCCAACATTTTTTTTTTATTTCATCTGCCGTATTAGATAAGCCATTATGAAGTTTGTAATGCTTACTTCAAATTCGTAATCAGCGAGCCAGAAAACCTGAAGAATATGTGGAAATTTAATTGTTTGTAATTTGATTCTTCTCTCTTTTTAAGTCTCCACCTGACCCTATTCAACTCCTAAATTTCGACAAAAACGCCAATCTAATCAATTTCAACAAACAATTTCTCGGGAAGCAAAAAAGATATTTGAACAATTCAAACTGGATTTTGAAGGAAAAGAGTAGTACTTTCAGAAGCCATTAACAATTTTGTGAGGAAAATTACCTCATGAGACATAACCTCAAAGATTGTGAATAACCTTTTTTGCACTTTTAGGTTAGGATATATTGAAAACTCGACATAACGGAATAATTTGAGGTCTGACTGGGATTTAACAAGTCAAAAACCTTCAGACAAGAATAGTCTAATCTGGATTAAAATTTTGTTGGTCGGTTACCTCTGGATAAATGAAAAAGCTGGTTAATGTGAACTTAATACCAAAAACCATTTCAAAACATATTAAATAGGAGCACGGTTGCACAATGCTGAGTTAGGAATGTTAAAGACAACATAGTCGGTTAATCAAGGATCAGTTAAACGAGGTTCTACAGTAGTTCCGACTTATTTACATTATACATCCTGTATAATTTGAAAGGAGGAGGGCCCCTAAGGCCGGTTTTTGACCTAATTTATTTTTGGCTGAAAAAATCGGAACAAATTTTTTTTAGTACTTACTAGCAATACTGAATCGGTTCCACCCTTAACGGACCAACCCCCTCACCCTCCTTTCCCCCTCCACTCCCTTAAATGCCGGAGAAACCATCGCTTATTAGAAGAATCTTTAAAAAGCTTAGAGATGTGAAAAACATTCAATTCCTATGAATCTTACATATGAAAAGTTTTTTGGGTCGCTGATTATGAATCTGGTCACAGAATCACGAAATTGAAAATTGCGGACCTAATATGGCGGACAAGAAAATTGAAATGTCTTCAAAATGATTGTTTTTTTTTGTAAAGTGTTTTTTTTTGGGTCTATGACTACGGATCTTGGCTCTAAATCACAAAATTCAATATGGCGGACAAAAAAAATTAAAATTTCTTTAAAATGCACGAATTTTTGTGTAGTGGGGTTTTTTGGGTATTTGATTACGAATCTGAAGGCAGAATTACGAAATTCAAAATGACGTATTACATATGGCGGACAAATAAGTTAAAAAGATCTTTATAATCCTCACGTATTTGTTTATAGAAACTTTCTTGGATCACTGATTACAATTATGAATTCAAAACCATGAAATTCAAAGTGGTTAGTCAAATATGCATAAACATGTACGTATAATCATTGATTTTTTCTTTTTCGTTTTACTCAATGTAAATGTGTGTCATCTCATTTAAGGGGGTGGTGGGAGAAAGGAGGATGAGAGGGTTGGTCCCTTTAGGGTGGAAACGATTCAGTATTGCTAGTAGGTACTATACAAAATTTTCAGATTACGCCAAAAACCGGCCTTAGGGGCCCTCCTCCTTTAGGTGTTATATTTAAGTACAAAGATTTTTTGGGTTGTTATGCCACCGCCTATGTACTTGATTGCCGCCAGTTACAGAATTACCTTGTACTTCATTAATCTTAGGAAAATCTATGACCTACCCTTGTTCTCAGCTGAATCCCCCAGTTACGTTCCCATTCCCACAGAGCCTAGTCCGAGAACAATAAATTTAGTTTTTTTTTCTGTACTCTGCGGACTAAAACACGGCCAACATTGAATTACACTTACAATATCTAGTAAACGATTAACATCATTCGTTAGATATAGAGCAGTTCTAAACTTATTAGTTTTGGTCACCGATGAGATAACAAACGAATGATTTAGCTATTTGCACCTATCGACAAGTTTTGAGTCTGTGTGAATAACCTACAATGTGTTATATCTCATATAATATTAATATTAACTGTAACACTTAGGCATTCCTATGTAATATTCACTCGCAAAAGTTATAACAGATAAACACTGAAGCAAACCACAGATTTGACAAGAATCACCGATAACAAATGCCCATCATGGCAGTTGCTAACTACCGTCCTACTGTTAACACAGGACCTGGAATGCCTAATTAAGATGTAACGCTTTGCAGGTTATATCTTACTCATATTTCCCATTTAGTTTTTGTTATTTACATATCAAATGCAACAAAATAACTATTGAAAGAAATTTCTGATCAAGTAGCAGTCACCACCGTAATAGAACTGTCGAGGATGCATTGTTTAACCTTATCTAACATATGCATATGTATACATCCTCATTCATGTACACAGTCTGGTTATTCACCAATCTGAATGTTGGCAGACCATGCACGAATAATCGACGATCAGACTTCATCGCAGAGTGCACAGCGTTCATGTTTCCGTTCCTTCGGCTTGTGTAGGGACCCTTCATTCTCTCGTCGTTGTACATACTGTCTCGGCCATCACAAAACCTCCTGAACCACAGGAATACAGTCAAACGTGACACACATTGCTCATCGTACGCCGTTTGTAGTTGATATATGTCCATGGCTGTTTTTCCAGCTTTCAAACAGAACTTGATTGCTGTACGTTGTTCAATGTGCGTTTCTATGATAACTATCAAAAGCTTGCTTCACGTAAAATGTTATAACTTCGTGGTAGACACACGATACAGATGAAATTTTCAGTCACTCGGAAGGCTTCTCACTACGTAGTTCCGGTGACCGCACATAGATAGCGCCACACACTTCGCCACAATAAGATCGCTCTTGAAACTTAATAGCCGGACTGTGTATGTGTTGAGATAGACTACATTTGACATATTATGAGTACATTAATGTTAATTTAGGTCATATGTTTGCGCTTTTACTTAATGGCTGCTTCAATTGTTTTATTAATGTATTAACTTTTAATTTATATAGAATAAATGTTTCTGCGATGTTAGATGTGAATTAATGCTTCAAAATTATTAAAGCAAAGAGTTTTATTAATTATTTAAAAGATTTCGTTTCTAAAAAATAAAATACCTGTCTTTGCCTAAGGAAGCACCTTCACAAAGGTCGTTCAACTCTCAACTATTTTTAGATCGACTTTAATAGTGAAATATATATTTACCTCACTATAATATAAATGAAAATACTCTTTCTCAGGAATTATAAACAAGAACATGTAATAGTAAAAGTCAAAGAAAACGCAAGTGGATAAGATGTGAAACAATACCTGTTCCTTTGCTTTGTTAGATGCACTGTTGGGGCTAATTTGCACAGTTTCAACAGGACCACCACTAGCACTTTTATCTGAACTTTTTTCTCTTTCACTATGTTCGTTAGATTTACTGTCTTTGTCAGCTTCCGGCACGGTACTACTTTCAGAAGTTTCTTGAGGTACTGAGGTTGTTTCTTCAGTTGATATACTTTTAACTTCCAAAGTGGTATTGGGCGGGGGGATCAGTTTGTTCTCCTTTTCTGAGAATGTTTTTGAACTGTCTATGCTGTCTGCGGGTTTCGCCGGACTCAGCGTAACTTCAGATTGCGTGTTAGAAGTACTTGAGGCCACTGTCGAAGACACATTAGATTCTGTGCTGAAGGTTGCTGGAATCATTGAACTTATCTTCACTTCTTCTAGTGCTTTGGCTGGTTCCGGAGGTGGTTTTTGCTCTTGTGAAGAAAGCGTCGATTTGGGCCTCTCTACCAGCTTGTCCGTTGCTTGTGAAACCTGAAATCAATACATTTTCTTCAGCACTAAATTTTGTACAGCAATAAAATTTGATTTAGTTAAATTATAGTCAAATATTATTTTATAAACCAGTCGTAAGACATTTAGAAACCTGCAAATCGTAATTGTGAAACTTTTGCTTTTTACAGGGGATATATATATATATATTTAATATATTTATGTTATTTAAATAAGCGTGGCTGTAAATTACACAATAATTATTTAGTTTAAATAGGAACTTGTGATTATTGAGGTTAAAGATACCCAAACCAAAATAATTTTTATGACACTTATCAAATGATTAACTCTAAGGAAACGCTAACCATGTTAGATGTAATCTGAATTGCCAAAAAACCCTATTTGATAAACAGACCCTCATAAAATAATTTATGAGCCAGAACCCATTTTTTTTTACCGCCATTAAAAGTTGATGAAAGTAGTACAGAGAAAGAACAATTGACTAACAAAAATAGAACACAAAATAAAAAAATCTAAAATCTAAGCGATTGAAAAAAATTGTTGTAACTGATAAATATCAAGCAATAAAAGAATTACATGTATAATTTGTTTTGTGTACAGACATGAAATGAGCTATTTTCTCTGATAACCCTCGGGGAATATGAAATTCAATTTTGAAAAACAGATAGTGGAGACAGGACATAATAAAACATAAACATACAGGAAATAAAAAATTAAATTAATCCAACAAATTATTCACATTGTTTTACTGAAAATTACTTTCGAATGCTTTACTTGTGATAGTCTCAGATTATGGCTGTCATAAGGACAGCAAAGAGACGAAGCATGGTCAAGATATTAAGGATATGAAAGAAAAATAAAGTAGACAGTCAGAAAAGAGTTAAAGTTAACTCTTAAATCTGTAATATATGTTCAATATTGTCTGCCCATGTGAAGTTGAATTTTACCAAAATCAGAAATATCAATTATAATCAGGAATAATTTGAAGTCAACAACAACAATGGAAATGAAATTGCCAAATCTAATAGTCCGGTCAAAATAGACATTTCAAATAACGAAAATTCCGACAGAGCAAAATTTTGGTGGAGACCTTGGGTACACCATTAGAAATAATGTGTCAAAAGTCCCCATCGATCCCATGTGCGCTAAAAAAAGTTATTTGGGGTCAAAGGTCAAAATTTGAGGTTTTTTCGGATTTTTTTCGAAAACGGTAAGTTTTATCAAACAAGTAACCCAGTTAAAAATTATAGATCTTCAAAATTATCTACAAAAATGGTCCTTATACTTTTTTTCTAACAATCACCATTCCTGACATCGCGATTCTAATAGTTGAAGGAATCACGTTCTACATGATATGTACACATTTCCACACCACATGTGAGGTAGTGTACTTTGGCGCGTTTTTTTAACGTGGTTTTCTCGGTAGCCCTACTCCACGAACTGTTATGATGGAAATTTCTTTTAACTGCACGATGATTATTGATATTGATATTGGTTATTGACTTTAACTGTAGTTCTGATTTCTTTTGATATTTTAATCTGATTCATACTCTTCAAAGTCGACTTCAACAGTCATGTCTTCTTCGATTTCTTCTTCTTCTTCCTCTTCTTCTTGCTGGATGTTCATAAATTGTTCAAATGAAGATGAATCATCTGTCTCTTCATCGAAATCACATGAATCTTCGTTTGTGGTATTCAATTGGACATTTGAGCAAGACTGGCTTTGGCAATTAGTACACGCTGGAGAACACGGTAACCCTACTCTTCTACATCCACATTTAGCACTACAACCTTTTTTGCAATGGCAAAAAATAGTGTTTAGGAGTTTTTCCGGAGAAAGTGGGAGTAAAGTTTGAATCGGTTCCAAAGTAATATCTGTTAATTTCCAACCCCAGTCTTCTGGGTTCAGTTGATTGCCTAGCCATGTCTGAACTTGATAGTATATTGATATTCGATACAAGTGTTGATTAACAGAAGCCAATGTTGGAGGAAGACAAGATAGTTGTACTTGTTTCTTGTTTCGTGTATTTTTTACAAAAGTTTTTACAATAGAGTAGCCAGATGTTATTCAAGGCCATGCGGGTAGAGGAGATTGACTAAGGGGCTGAGTTTCTTTTGAGTGTATATTCTCAGAATAGTATAGTTTATACATATAAGACACACAAATAGGCATTTTTACTTCAACTTTTAGAATCGCGATATCTCAGGAATGGTGATTCTTAGAAAAAAAAGTGTAAGGACCTTTTTTGTAGATAATTTTAAGATCTATAATTTTTGTCAGGGCTACTTTTTTGATAAAACTTATCGTTTTCGAAAAAAATCCAAAAAACCTCAAATTTTGACTTTTGACCCCAAATAACTTTTTTAGCACACATGGGATCGATGGGGACTTTTGGCACTTTATTTCTAATGGTGTACTCAAGGTCTCCACCAAAATTTAACTCTGTCGGAATTTTCGTTATTTGACTACTATTTTTATGACTAATTTGACCGGACTATAACCATCTGATAACTTTTGATCCAACCCAAAAGATGACATATGATTGTAATACTATGATTTATTCTTCGACAGGCCTTGGAAAAATTTGTACATAAAGGATCTATTTGAAATTGGACTATTTGGATATAAATCCATATTGATGAGCTACAAGAGAATTGGACAGTAGATAAGCTAAAAAAATACAAATGAAATTCTCAAATACTTGGATTGGAATAACACTAATGATACTACTTATTATGGAACAGTAACAAGATATTTATTACCCGAATTAAATACAGAAGATATAAATAGCCCAGAAAACTAATTTATTAGTTTTTTCATAAAGATCATTAAAAAAACTTTATCAAAAAAGGTTCTGTTCAAACTTATTATTATTATCTTGGGGTAACACTTAAAAAGTTACAGTTTACTTATTTTGCAGTATAAGTATAAATGAAGTAGAATTTGAAAATATAAGGAAATTATGTTTTATACAATTGTAAGAATTAAAATATTCCAAATCATCTCTAATTCCATTGACAGATTTATAAAAATTGGATATGAAAATAATAATTTAACAGAATACCTATACTATATTATTATTATTATTATAAGGCTTTTAATGACAATGTAAAATTGTTTTCTAAGTAAAGATATTCTAATCAATGTACTATACTTACTATTTACTTACAATTTACTAATAAAAAATCAACTTACCTGTGGCACTTGAGATGGGACAGTTGGAGGTTTATCTTTTGAAGGTGAAACACAGTTACCCTGATTTTCCGTTTTGGGTGGGGATCTGACTTCTGGAGTTCCGTTAGATTGCGGCTTGTCCGCTGAGACCTCTGATGTGGGGGTAGAAGAGTTTGAGGAATTCGATGAGTTCTGCGATGAAGAGTTCTGTTGAGTTTGTGGGGTGGCGGGTAGAGTCTGGCTTACTGGAGGTAATGTGTTTTGCTAAGGAACAAAAAAATTGTCAAACAAGTAATGGTGTTTATTTTTTCTACGAACAAGTAACTTGAAAGTTAATTTTTGATATAAGTACTACAAACATGTATAAAGATATATTATAAAGTTAATAAATAGATGTACATTTTTATAATGCAAATAAGATTAATCACAATTATTGTAAATTTTGCATGGTGACACAGTAGGTACGCACAAAAACTGTTTACAAACAACTTGCCTCCTAATCACATCAATTGTTTTTGTTGACTGTTTAATATTCTCTGGTAAGTGCTAATAGCTATAATGATATTTTGCCACCAAGAAGGTCAGTGCTGATATTTTTTCTCGGACAACAACTGTCAATCAATCAATTCGATATAAATAGAATATAATTTTTATCGATAATCATATAAACTTCATATCCGTGTTTATTACCTGTCAGTTTTTATTAAAAAAAAAAAAAACATTCCAAAGACACTAACATGAGTAAGATCTTTTCACATTAATTTCTTGTTAGAGACTGTACCCCTTAGGGAGCAGGGGCAACCCCCCAAAAATCTTAATAGGGAAAGAGAGTTAAGTGATATATTGTTTGAAAGGTTTTCTAATTCTCTACACAACTGTGTTTTATTTTTTGATTTGACTCGATTAGTTTCGAAGATGCAGGTTGTTAATTAAAAACACCTACTTTTACAAATTTATTTGCAAACATTTTTTCTCCATCAGCTGCAATAAACTGTTGATCCGTTTTTAAAAGTTAGTGGTCAAATTTGAGGAGACTGGATCTGAACCATACAAATTCACCTTGCACAGAAACTTCATGAAGATGACTTTGATCGATGACTACAATTTTTTTATTAAAATAATGAGTTAATGAGCTATTAACAATCTTGATTTTATGCTTCTTGGACGAGTGTATTTTTTTCTGTTAATGGCATCGCCAATTATCACAATTGTCGTTATTGGTCCGATTCTAACCGAAGGATATTTTATGAGTCATACACAACAAAAAATGTATGGGCTGGAATTTTTGGTGACTCTTTTTTCTTACCAGGTTACTCTACAAATGTTACAAAATGTACGTGAACGCTTATTACAATACTTATATTACTGTATGGAGGCTGAAGGTCATCAATTTGAACACTTAATAGTAGTAATGTAGTAATTTGCAAATACATTTGTAAAAAGTAGGTTTTTTATTAACAACCTGTATCTCCGAAACTAATCGGTCAAATTAAAAAAATAAAACACAGTTATGTACTATGAGAATATAGAATTATATAATAGATAATTAGAACACCTTTCAAATGAAGTGTCACTTAACACCCCTTTCTCATTAAGATTTTTGGGGGGCTGCCCTCCTTCCTAGGGGGGGTAGCCTGTAAGAAGAAATTTATGTGAAAAGATGTGCTCCTTCGATCAAAAATCGAAAGTTTTAGCAAATATGTATACCTGTATGTTGACTACCCATATTTTCATATGAATGGATATTAAATTACATATAAAATATGTGTTTCTGTGTTGACAATATGTCTATCTACAAGAATTATCCTCTTTTTCTATCCGATTCTAACAAATTTGCTTTCCAAATTAATTGCTTTTTAAATACATTATTAATTTATTTACCTTTAAATTTTTAGTTTACATACCTACTATAAAAATACATATTAAGCTAAGTCAAATTAATTTTAAACATTTTCCTAAATTCATTACCTTACACAACTATATTTACAGTGTTTCAGAAAAGTTGTGACATTGTGCGATTACACATCCCTGGGATTAAAATGATACGATATAGAACGTCTTACATATATGTATACAAAAGTCAACGTCTACCGAGATATTGCCTACTGATTGTGATACACCGAAACAGAATCTAGAATTTTTTCTTTATTTACTAAAAAATTAATGAAATAAACCCTTAAGCAAAAAGCATCGGTCAAGAGTTATTTTTATGAAAATAGTTTTGCCTAACCAAAAATCTCACACAGAAAAAGCAGACAAATAAAAAATACAAAAATACTTCTTCAGGAGACAAAAACATATTGATTTTTGAAACGTCACGATTTATTGAAGCGTGTGATCTATGTGATGTGTATTTTGTATTTTTTATTTGTCTGCATTTTTCAGTTTTACAATTTTTGGTTTAACAACTAATTTTATAAAAATAGGGTTATTTTTACTGATCAAAAGTGGCAAAATAACCCATCCATAAAGAAAAAATAAAAATTGGCACAAATGCAAAAAGGTGGGGATAATAAAAAATAGCACCTTGTATATTTTCTTACATATCAAAAAATAGACAAGGACATGCTCCAAATAAGAAGTGTCCAGCTAAAATGATTTTTTAGTTGAATTAAAAATGTTAAGGTAATTTATATCTTTTAATCGAGCTTCTAATATAAAACTGTTTCCTAAAGAATTCTTATGTATCTCTTACGAAGCTTTGACATCTAGGTATTTCGATTAAAACAGATATTTCTTTGGCATTTAATGTGCTGAAAATACATGATATTCGCGATTTTTTTTATATTTGAACAAGCAACAAGTATAAATTGTTTCCATAGTTAAAAATACTAAATTTACTGACCAAAAATCCAAAATTACTTCCCTCTAAAACGATTCCATTAATTTTCTTTCTTTTATTTCATCATCCTCATAGCCAACAATTCTTGGATTTTAGAATACACGAATCAATATAAACATGTTTATTCTTTTCTGTAAGAAGTACATCGTCGATGAGATCTATTTTACCACATGTAATTTTTAGTTAAAAAATATCAGATATTAAAAAAAGCTGTGTTTTAGGTGCAATGAAGTAACACTTTGGAAATGTAATGAAAATATAGACAATCACTATAATTATTTACACACCATATACTATAACACTAATATTACAATATAATAATAAAATGAATAAACATAGAAGTATTGAAAATAACATTGTGATATTAAAATGATATTTTATTATTCCCAAAATACTATAATAAACTATACTATATATACTATATATACTATATAACTACTGTTACAACTACAAAAATTGCATCTGCTGGAGGAAGTATGTTGAAAAAAATTGAAACATACTGTATATTATATGAAAAGAGAAGAGAAGAAAGAATATTATATTTATCTAATATAGATCATTGAGTGACCCATTTAAATCTCTCAGATAAACATTCACTGACTCCTATGAAGATAATTATATTTTATTTTAAATTAAATTATAAGTAATTTTATGGAAGTAGTTATGGTCCAATATTTTTTTGTTTTAACTGAAAGCTTATATTAAATTTTTAAGAATGGCAATAATTTTTTAGGAAACAATATTGTATTAAACATTTGCCATAACAATGGCTAGCCAATGGCTAAATATAAACAAATAAATTTCTCAAATTGATATTAGATAATGTTTCGTGGTACCACATTCAGTGAGTTATATTAGTGAGTTCAAGACCAGATGATACAAAAAAGAAAATATTAAATACATAAAAAGTAATTTAGCTAAGTTGGTCTAAATCTTCGTATTTTGATCCCAGGGATCTTGGGATGACCTTTCCAGAACACTCTGTATTCAAGACACCTATACGTAGTAAACTGTCTTATGATACTATTTTGTGACTGTAATTATGTGCTGGATTCCCATTAATAAAGCATTATTACTATTATTATCAAATTTTCACCAAATGAAGTTACAAATAAATTGTCTCCCAATATTTTCTGGATCTTTCTTCTAATAAACACTTTTCCAAAGATTAAACATGAATATATCTGTTTATCTAATAGTCTATACTGCGCGGTCGAAATTATAGAGAGTGACTCATCGCTAGCTTTTGGACTAGTAAGGGGGATGAAGCGTGCCAGGAATTAAAATCCATTGGCGTGTCTGCGTAAAAGGCAACAAGATATAGAAAATATTGAAAAAAGATAAAACATAACATCTAATATTTTTTACGGTTTGCTATAACCGGCACTTTGATCCATTTTAATTATTACAGCATTTTAAAACGTCCCAATTGTGTTTTTTATAAATTTATAAATTTATTATAGCCATGGAATTAGACCCCTCGTCTACGCTTATGCTATGACGTTTCTCAGGACGGGTAAATCAAGTCCGTTTACACCCACTAAAAAAGCATTTCCATATTCCCTACCAAGTGCAAAAGACAGAGATAGAATATAGATCGACGTTCAGTGTAACTCAGTTTATAGACGATTATAGATTATATCGATGTGCGTAGCGAGCGGCACAAAGATAAATAATATTGAACCGTATAAAAATCATTTTATATTTTATACGCATTATGGTAATAGTGTTTTTATATTATGTATGAGTCACTCTCTACAATTTCGACCGAGGAGTATAGATATCAAAAATGTGTTAAAATGCGTTAAAGTATAAAAAAAATGTAGTGACAGTCTTCTCTAAAACTACACCTTATGCAAGGTGTAGATATAGTTTGAACAATACTGTCTAGATGCCCGGAGTCTAAGTTATATATGACTAAGATATTGCTAAAAATATATCTTTACCACCTTGTAAATTTTGCCTGAATAATGATAATAATTGAATAATGTTTTGTAACTGTAAATTATATGTTATCAAAATCATGTGGGGTATGTCATCCCACTACACTAATCATGTAATTTATATTATCCTTGTTATTACAAGTTTCACATTTTTTAAAAATTTTTATAATATAATACGTTAACAAAAATGTAGTCTACTTTTCGCAGTAGCATTAAAACACTATAAAAATAAAAATACACTCAAAGTATGATAAACTACAGCAGGAAAACAAATTCATGCAAATTTTAAATGTTGAATTTTCATCAACTTGTGTACACTTGATTTATATTTTTACATTTTTTTATGACTATTCATTGGATTTGTTTTTAATAATAAAAATTATTTGAAACTATTTAAAATTAATACAAAAACATATATTATTTAGATATATTGATTTACTCTCGACTGAATAAATGTGTAGACGATTTAATTGATTTTATTATGTTTATAATGAAGTATTACATAAAATATATGTAAAAATAAGTTGTGTAATTTATCATGGGTAAAATTAATACTGTCTAAAGTGATTTTATATTTGCAACATCATTTAAGTTTTGATGCGTCATTTACATTTTTAGCATACCAAGATAGTTGGTGGGAAAAAAGTATGTAAGAGAAATTAAGGGAAATTTTTAGAATCAATTTACTATTCTTGTTATTACATTAGTTACGCTAATTATACATATCCTAAAAAAGGTAAACGATAGAATAAGAACAACTATAATTAATCGGTAATAAAAATAAGTAAAAATGCAACACTCCACTTACATTTGGAGGGTGTCCGAGGTTTGGCTGATACCCGCTGGGATACGAAACGTTTTTGGGAGCATTGTACATTTGTCCACCTGAAGGCTGGCTCATATTTGCGACAGGATGGTTACTAGGTGGAATTGTTGCCATACTACCGCCTATGTAGTGGGTGGAGGCATTAGGTACGTTTAGGGAATAATGGTTTGGCTGTGCATTGGGGTGATTATGGGCAACATTCATATTGGGGTAGGGATTTTGGTTCATATGACCTGTTGGTTGGCCATATGAAGTGGGGACACCTTGGGGATGCATGGGTTTACTCAACGAACTGGTCACTGCTGTGTTTTGCGATGACGATGTCAATACTGGTTTTAAGGCGGAGTTCATGTTTCAACTTAGTTGATATCTGCAAAAAAAAATAATTGTGAGGAAATCAAATGAGAATATTAATAGGTAGGTGCCTATACACTTTTATTAATGCCTGCATAATTGAACGATATGCTGAAACAACGTTGTAACCGCCAATATGTGTAAAAACGGTATTTCCGTGGAATAACGTTGTATGTGCCTTAAGGAACCTACTGACGCGATATAGGGGGGTATAGCACACTTTTCTGCTGATTTTCCAGATTAGTCAAGACGGCTTCTTCGTGTAACAACGTTGTATACGCCACCATTCCAGTTTACTGTCGCGCACGTTTAACTTGTTTACACGTGTTTGGTGCGTAGTTTGGTGTTGTAAGTAAAAATGGATATTTCTTTGACAGACTCTGTTAAGAAACAACTGAATAGAGGCAAAAACGAAAGATGCATATTGAGAAATGGAAGCAGAATGTCAGGAAACGTTGTAGAGACAGTGGGGATCCTTATGTTTCGTCTAGGAATGTCCCCAAAAATGCTTTAAAACGCCCAGATGAGGAAATCCCACAACACAATACAACCATGGACATCTTATTCGCTAAGATCACCAAAGAAGACGACGATTAAAGTGAGCCTGGACGACTAAGGGAAGCGTATACAGGTCCTCTTCCGATCAAAAAAGAAAAATATGACAACTTGTTAGATATGTGTGATTATATTCCACTAAAATATATTACTTTCTATCAAAATATGAGCCATGCCTAAAACTACATGTAATGCACTTCATTTTTCGTTCATTTGTTTAATAAAAATACGTTTTGTATTTTCACATGTACTTTATTTTTAATCCTAAAACAACGTTGTAATCGCCCTAGTTCCATAAAACAACGTTATAACCGACATGGATATACAACGTTTGATTGAAATGAGAAAAAATATGCTCGTAAATCACAATTCTGTATGCGGTTAAGTCTACAATGCCTATATCATATGGTAAGTTCATTTGGGTAGTTACATCAGGCATATATTAACTTTATTTTGATAAAGCAATCGCTCATATTTCGTTTTTTTCGATTTCCCAAAAAAACAACATTTGGCGTTTACAACGTTGTTCCAGCATAGCGTTCAATTTTTAAAATAAATCACAAACATGTTAATCTAATGTAGAAGTTTAAGTCAAATCAAACAAAAAAATGTAACAACTTTGATAATAAACTGGTTTTATTAATTACAAAAAAAATGTACACGGACAGGATGTAATAAATTTCTAGGCCAAACTTAAATGGCAGATTTTGGGTTACAAATTAGCAAAAAAAAATTAAGTTAAAATAAAAAATGCGTTTTATTTTAATTACAAGAAAGCAGTTGAATAGATTTTTTCGTTAAAATTTCGCATGCAGCTTTAACTGCAATTTAGAGGAGTTATTGCAGGTCTAAACTATAGAGGCTGCTGTAGAACGAAATTTGTTGATTTGAACGTTTTAACAACACCTTGTGTTCATATTCTACTGTTTATAACAATTAAGAATAATCTGTCCAATTACTCGACACACATCGGTAACCATGACTGTAATATCCGTCATAAGAATAATTTGAAACCATTGGTTAGAAGCTACGGTTCAAGTCCTGAAAGGTGTTGTATAAAAGGTATCCATGGTTTAACTTTAGTTTAGTTAAAGAAAATATCAATGTGGCAGAAATAATTTAAAATAAAATGCCACTTTTGCTCAAAAATATTTTCAAAATATGAACTTCAATGATTTAATAGATGAAAAATTTTTAATAATAATACCAATATATTGGTCCAATATTTTCGTTAATTTTGAACATTCTGTTAAAAAAAAGAAAATTTTTTTGGACACATTTTTATAAATTTTTTAATTTGTGCTGATGAAACTGGCATTAAATCTGACCGACCAAGCATTTTATTATAATCTCTATATGTTTATATTGAAAACTTATGGGCAAATCTAATGTAGTTTTCACTTGTACAGCAGACAAAAAATTGTTCTGTTTAATCTATTTTTATTGTGAACATAGTAGCGTTGATTGAAATAATACAATATTTCAGTCAACGATATCAGTCATCAATATAAAAAAAATATACCAAATTTAGTACCGATACCTCAACTGACGTATAAATTATTGCCAGGTCATGCTTCAAGCTGCTGTATCTTCGTAAGTAATTAAAATTGACTCCTAGTTCATTAAAACTTTTTGAGTTAATTTTGACCAAGGAACATACTGAACACGCAAATTGTTTTTTTTTCTAAAGTCAAATTCAAAATAAATATACATATTTTTCCAATAAAATGTTGTGAACTGTTGACTTCAATATGAAATTTACGCATAGTAGATTGATTAGTAGTAGTAGTAGTAGTAGGTAGTAACTTTTTATTGAATTATTATTTAAAATAGGAAGAAACAAATAATAAATATTTTCATAATTTTATTTTTTAATTTAGTACACCATAATTCGCTAAAAACCGATTAAATACACTTAAAAGGTACGACACAAAATGTAAATGTGAATAAAAAAGATAATTCCTGCGTAAATATTTCTACTTAAAAAAAAAGACTCGCTGGACTCACATACAGGGTGTGCCATTTAACACTCCCGCTGCCAATATCTCCGAAATGAAGAAATTTATTTTAGTACCGGTTAGAATTATTAGTTTAAATCTTTCTGTATAGATGGCGTGGCGATACTAATAAATTTTTTATTCCTGGAACGTGAAAATTTTGAGTAATTTTTGTAATATAAAGTTTTTCCCAATATGTATTTACTTGTTTTTGAGACATGTCGACTTCAATTTGCAATGTATGATGTAACAGAAAAATCTATTATTTTATTTAAATCACACTGACATAAAATATTCTTTTAAAATATTGTTATAATGGCTTTATTCACACTACATACTAACTAACAAACAGTAAATTATAAAAAAACAAATTATCAACTACAGAAAAAAAAATTGTACAGTGGTAAATCTTATAAGGGGCAGAAACAAACCGTATTTTATCAAATATTATTAAAAAATTCAGTCATAGGTGATTCATGTCTTTTGTTTAAAATAAAACATGTACGCCAGATGACACATATTAGTTTTCCAATAATTACAGTTTTATCAGCAATGTCTTTCAATTTAACTATACTAGTTATAAGCTTTACTATTGTACAATTTTTTTTTCTGTAGTAATTCATTTGTTTTTTTTTAATTTATTGTTTGTTATTTAGTATGTGGTGTGAATAACAATTATAACAATAGTATGATTTAAATAACATAATAGATTTTCCTGTAGATCATACATTTCATACTGAAGTCGACATGTCTCGAAATACAAGTAAATATTGGGAAAAACTTTATATTTCAAAAATTACTCAAAATTTAACGATCTTTCAGATGGACAGCATTTCCACGTTCCAGGAATCAAACAATTTTTTAGTATCGCCACGCCATCTATACAGAAAGATTTGAAATAGCAATTCTAACTGCAATTTGAAGCTATTAGAGGGACTTAACAATCCCAGTTTCCGGAACTAAAATAAATTTATTAATTTCGGAGATAGTGGCAGCGGGAGTATTAAATTGCACACCCTGTATATTGCGTAAATGCTGCACATTGTATAAGAAGTTGGTCAGAATTAATATCTCGGTTTTAATATGGTTATTGTGTAAAAATCTTTATTTTAGATTGTGCTACCGCTGCATTTTCTTTTACGTTTACGTTTAATGAAACAAACCTACATAAGTACTGTCCTGACTCGAATCGATTAATATTAATCCCAATCTAAACAAAGTTAAAGTCCATTTTTTTAAGTGTTCGTTTGTAATGCTAAGAACAACATCCTAAGCCACTGCAACGCAATGGATAATGCATATAATTCGTGCAAAATAAGAGCGGCATCGAGTTTCTGACCCAGTCTAAGAAACGGCGTAGTATTTTTAAACTTTCTGGCGTCTACAGTTGCCGTCATTTGAAAATTACGTGTGTGAACGCCTATTGGTAGATAGCTCCATTTAATATAATTAGGTACTGTAACATTGTGAACAAAAAATAAATAAATACACCTTTGTACCAAAAATAATTGTTTTGGTTCTTATTTATTTTATCACAAACAGACAAATATTAAAATATGTTTTACATAATTAATTTCAGGTAATACATCTAGTAGTTGATTATACCACGACATATCTATACTAGGTACATTGTTCCAAAGCAATAGTATTTTTTTAGGCACTGCATTTCAAATAAAATTGTTTTTTGATCGTTACCGTAATCAAAGCCCTAGAAAAAAAAGAAAAATCAACGAAACGACGGAAAATTGTTACCACGCTTATTCATTTTTATTTTAATTCAAATCAGCAATAATTGCGCTTATAATTAAGTAAATAAAAGTGTTTAATATGTAAATGTAACGTAAAAGGTGACAGCGGATGTAGTTAAACCATTTTAGAATATATTTTTCTTTGTGACAGTACTATTTGGCAATGTTTGTTGGAAGTAGTATGCTTGGAAATACTACAGAATTTTTGTGTGAAACGATTCTCTTTCTGAATCTGATCCAAGTCTACGATTTTTCTAGCCAGAATTATAAATATTGTTTAAGTTTTCCAACAACCGGGAACTATGTAGAACTTTTAATCATTTTTGGTGATTTCGGAAAATCAATAAATTTTATAAATCCAATATTTTTTTAGTATTGAATGACATTGATTTAATATTGAAGTAAATGATTTGAAATGTGTACTGAATATTAACTTGAAATAATTTAAAAGCTTTGTTCCTAGAGCAATCCAGAACAATTTCCATATGACTAATTAAATAAGACCCGTGAAAAGGATAGGACGAGTAGACTCGTTCAAGTACGCGCGCCATCTCACGGTCGTTATGCAAAACACTGCCATTGTTAGCAATATTTATGTATCGAAAACTATATCACTAACTTGGAGTAACCTGAACAGGATAGAGAAATATCGAGTATTAATATTAATTATCTACTTATAATAAATTATTTCCAATCTTTTTTCAAAACTGATATGT